CCGGACTCTAGGTCGCCTTACTGTCGCTGGACGTTGTTAAGCTCTGCATGAGGACATCCAGCGTCTGTGAAATCCCCATAGCAAAGCATTGATTAATTGCTTTGATATTGGGGGGGGACTAACGCACTCGCCGCTCCTCCACGTCAGAGGAGGTGGAGCAACGACCCAGCACAGGGGGACATCGGCGCTGGAGTCGGATAAGTACATAACTGGTTTTGTAACCCTTCATGTCCCATGGAGAAGGGGGGACCAGTGAGAACTATAGTGTTATGAATACAGATTTGTATTCCTAAAAATATAGAATCCGTTTAAAAATAGTTTAACCCTTTTTTGAGGAAGGCAGGTAAGTAGTCTATTGTTACTTGTTAATTTTTATGAATTCAACTCTTTGGCACTTGATGGATTAAGAATGTGTACAAATTGCCTTTTCTAACTCTGCTCAATGACAGTACATGAGTTTTTAAAATTGAAATAAAGCTAAAATAAGAGTATATTACGATATGCGAAATTGCAGTGAAGTGTCCTGCCATTAGTCGGTTATATATCTTTTCTGCAGCCAATTGCTTCTAATCCTTCTGGACTCTAATTTAGAAGAGAGGTGAGTGTGTAATCTCAAAGCTGACAGTTTGTTACGAAGGTCTGGTACCATTTAATGTAAACACTGCTTATAATGCCTCATAGTTAGATGGATGAGGACAGTGATGCTACTAATTAGCTCAATAGCTTTGGCACGTTGAGTACAGGCTTTACGCTGAACTAATGATCACCACAAATTCTTTATTTGTGAAAATAAATCAAAATTTTCTAATCAGATGGGGGAAATTATCTCAGTTCTTAACAGGACAGTAATACGATAAAATAAAACATGTATGTATATTTACTAAAAAGTTGTAAGGAACCTATTTGCAAAATGTAGGAATTTTCTAACCTTTAGTAAATAAAATAAAAAAACTTTAGAAAGTAGAAAAGCTTTTAACATAGAATCCATCAAGTAAAATGTACTTTATTATGTTTCAAAGTGTAAAAATTCTAGCACACTAAAAATATTGATACCAATATTTATGATAATATAAGTTTAAAGCAATTTACATTATAGCATTTGTGTTTACCTCTTGAAATCCCAGTTCATCCTGAAGATCATTCAGTGACGACCATGCTACACACCACAGCTAAACCAGACAATTAAGTATATGGAAGGTCTTTAAAGGAAAACTCCAGTGCCAGGAAAACAATCCGTTTTCCTGGCACTGCAGGTACCCTTTCCCTCCCATCCCAGGTAGCTGAAGGGGTGAAAATCCCTTCAGGTCACTTACCTGAGACCCCGCCGATGTCCCTCGGCAGTGGTTTCGGGTCGGCGTCGCTCCTCCCAGTAATCTCGTCAGCCGGTGGGCGAGACTGATCCCCCTCGCCGGCTGAGGAAACCTAATGCGCATGCGCGGCAATGCGGCGCACGCGCATTAGGTCTCCCCATAGGAAAGCATTGAAAAAGATTTTCAATGCTTTCCTATGGGGAATTGAGCGACGCTGGAGGTCCCCGCACAGCGTGAGGACGTCCAGTGACACTCTAGCAAAGAAACTAGAGGTGGAGTTAACCCTGCAATGTAATTATTGCAGTTTATAAAAACCTGCAATAATTACAGTTGCAGGGTTAAGAGTAGTGGGAGTTGGCACCCAGACCACTCCAATGGGCAGAAGTGGTCTGGGTGCCTGGAGTGTCCCTTTAAGAGCATTGAGCTGCTGTCCAAGAGCAACATCTAACATTCTCCTCTTGATCAATATGGTTTCACCTGGAGCGACATTAACATGAAATATCTTTATATCCAACATTTACAGCTCTATGATGGAGTCATACGTGTGTCAGATCACTAGGTGCTTACTCATTGGCACAATGGGGCCCCAAACAACCACCCATTTATAGAGGCAAAAACATTAATTAAAGGGACACAATAGTCACTCGGATCACTTCATCTCATCTCAAGCCTTGAACAGCTCTGCACATTGAACACATGATGCTTGGGGATGGGAGCCCAGAAGTAAAAGTCCTAGTTCTCTGATCCAGATGGATTAAAGTCATGCTCCCAAGCCTTCAAAATACAACATTTTGGAGACTTGCACATGGGAGGGAACTACTTATGGCACTAAAGCATTATCAGTACAATGAACTTGTTATATCACCTACAGTGTTCCATTAATAGATAAAATCATATATTTTTTTTTTTTTAATGGTTCTTGTATTATCTGTTTTCTAAAAGTGCATCTGCATGATTTGTTTGATGTGTTAATACCCTGCATCAGTCATTTAACATATGTAGCTGGTTAATTTATTTGAGCCAGTCAACAATCAAGGTCTTTAAATATGTTCAAAAGCATTTTGTAGCCTATCCACAACACCAAGAAACAATTGAACACATTATTACGACTGATATCCTGATTAATTCTCCTTTTTAAAAAAGGGATTGAATGGAATGGCTGGTGAGGAAGCATCTAGTTTACATGAAACGGGTGAAGCTTTTTAATTGAGGTTTTTTTTTTATTGTATTCAAGATCCCCCTTCTTTGCAATTTTTACTATCAATATTGGAAGGTTTGTAAAATATAAGTTCCACTATCTTTATATGGTATGCATGTTTGACTGAGGTTTGTGATCAATAGTGTTTTCTACTGGGAAGCTTATTATGGATTTGTTCTTATGGTGCGTCCATAGGTTAAGTTTGAAGAACATTTCTGTGTTAAAAGGACACTTAGGCACCCAACCCACTTCATCTCATTGAAATTGTCTATCTGCAGTGTCACTAAGAAGCTGCAATCATTACATTGTAGGGTTAAGACTGCCTCTAGTGGCTGTCAATCAGACAGCCACTATAGGCACTTCCTGCTTGCAAAACGACTTTTAATCACCTAACTGCCGCTGGACATCTTCACGCTCTGCATGAAGGCATCCAACTTCAGTAAAATCCCCATAGGAAAGCATTGCAGCAATGAGGAGGAGCACCAACCCAGCGACAAGGGGCATTAGTGCTGGAATCGTGTGAGTACAGTAAGGGTTTTTTTTTACCTTTACAGTGTGGGGAGGGGTGCAGAGGGAGCTATAGTGCTAGGAATACAACTTTGTATTCCTAACACAATCCCTTTAATAAGACACAGCAAAGTATACTGAACAGTAAATAATGTCACGCTTTGTAAAGGGAAAGAGTAGCATTTATATATTGACATGATTTATTTTATACCGAATGGACACTTCACTCACATAAAGCACATCAGCTTGCTCTCTGTGTGCGGAGTGTCCCTTTAACATAAATGTGTAGATTTCGGTTTGAAATAGGTGTTTTTATAAAGAATTGTAGTAACACCTCCTTGGCTGTCAACTAAAGTTAAGGGAAGTGAAAGGCTTGCTATGCTAGAGTGCGCCTATCTTCTCCCCCAAGTCACAGTGAGCCTAGTAGTGCATGCGTCCATAGGGTCAGTTTTTTTTTTTGTATCGCTCAAGATGAGAGCTCCTCCAATGAGAAGCCTTTGGTCATTTACCTGGCACAGACTGAAAGTCTGAGCTGGGGAAAAAGGGGAGAGATTGCAAAGGCTGCAGGCGAGATTTTGCAAGCTGGTTTTAGATATATATTGCAAAATAAATATTAGCTATATTGTAAACTGTTAGATATACCTCCAGTTAATAAAATGCATAATTAAATGCATGCATGTTTTCATTGAAGGGTTGATCAACTAGATTAATAAAAAAAAATAATTAAAAAGCCGATTTTGAATTTTTGCGTTTCATGTATTTAAGTGCATATGGCTCTCTGCAATGCTTAATACAAAACGTAGATCCACAGCTGTCTCAAAGCTGCAACGCAGAATACTTTAAGGCTGGAATGCATCAAGATGATCTTTATTTTGACCACCAACATTGTGTTGAGTATAGAGTACATCTGTCATTTCTATCGCTATTTGATACATGCTTGGGCTCAGCATATAAATGTGTTTAAAAACAATTAACCATTTTTGGTGGTTCGTTCATTTTATATGCCTAAATTTAATTTAACACCAAATGTATTATTATTGTTTTTGGGTGGATGTAAAAGATTAAGAAAATGGCACAACAGCACCGGCCAAATGAATAATGTGCATATTCTTTGAAATATAATGATTAGCTGTTTGGCTTTTAGAATCTGGATAAGAATAGCCATGAATAAAAAAACAAAACAAAAAAAAGTATTTCATGTTACAATAATTATTAGAATCATACCACAAACATTTTTTTATTTTTTTTTAACAAGCTACGCCTACATTGTCTCAGTCCATATGCAAGACACTTGTCCCATGAAACTTCTGTAGGACAGAAACTATTACTTCAAGCAGCATGTTCTTATTAACATTAAGTCTTTTGACAAATGGAAATCTTTTATGGGGACACCTAATGCACCCAGACCACTTCATCTCAATAAAGTGGCCATTTGATTTGATGCAACAATCCCATTGGAAAGCATAGGATTGGTTGAGATCATCATGATTGATGATCTCAGCTAGAAAGAACTGGTGGCAGCGCGGAGCACAGCAAGGTAGAAAATATAAGTAAATCTTTATTTTTTTATTTCTTTTTTACTCCTTACTTGGCAGGGGGCCTGACCACCTAAACAGCAATCAGGACATTATAGCATTTAGAATATATGTTTGTATCTCTACAACTATAATAGGTCAAATAGCTTTACAGGTAGCTCCAAGTTTTTGGTTCCTGTATGGAAAAAAAAACTAAATACCATTTAGGAAGAAACAAAATGAATGTAAAAAAAAAATCTAACTTTTTTAAGAAACGCAACATATTTTTAAAGATTTTTAGATTTTAAGCTTTTGGGCAGGACTCTTACCATCTTTTTATATTTACCCTGTGGAATTTACTTGTATGTCTTCTTACACCAATTTTTCAGTGGTGCAAAATAAGTTGATGGTTTATAATTAGGTTGATGCGCAACTAATTTATAGTGCTTTTAATAAATTAAATGCAATAATAATAATAATGCAATTATGTGGTAATAGGTTTTAAAAAACAAAAACAAAAAAAAAACCTGGACTAGAGTTGCCAATAACTGCGGTTAAATAAAAAAAAAACCATCAGGCTCCCTTTGTAGACTTTATCAAGATTAAGAAATGGAAGTTATCAAACCTCACAATGCATTTAGATTTCTGGAACTTTTTTTCTTTCTAATATTGTCACAGTTTGTTAATGATGTTACAGTTGATGGTAGACCCAGGATGACTTGTGCGCTGTATAGAATCATCTGCTCAGATCTAAACAACCTTCAAAAACTAAATGCATGGTACTCCAGCCTTCAGCAGGACAATGACCTCAAGCACATTGCTTACAAACACGAACACAATGGTTCTAAACAAGTTGTACCATCCAAGGTAACCTAAATTCAATTGGGCATGTCTTGCTCTTAAAGATGCAAATGAAGGGTTTCCATGTTTGGGATTAATAATAATTGTTTAGTAGATATTCCCCCAGTTAAAACATGCATGTATTTATTTTGCATATTTTCATTGAGGGTTTATCTTAAAACCGCTTGCACAAGCCCTCCCCTTCTTCTCCAGTCCAGACATTCTGTGGCTGTCCAATCACAGACTTCACAATGCAGCTCAATGAGAAGTCTCAGCACTGGTGATAGCTGTGGATGTAGTAAGGTTAATTTATAAAAGTGCCAATTTCTATTGAAAGCCACGCTTTATGTAAAATACTTTTCATGTACAAGCAAAAGTGCTTAAGTTCTCTGGATTGTTTCTTTAATATAGACAAAGGAGGAAGAACAAAAGCAATACATTGATATATTGCTTTTTGTGTATATATATATATCTATATAGATATATAGATGTATTGCTTTTTGTTTTTCCTCCTCTTTCTCTCTCTATTGGTTGCATCTTCTCACTTGATCTGTAAACCAAATACATAATACATACATTTTGCAGGACTAATTTTCGTACCATTTTGGTTGGTCTGAATCATTTTCCCAAATCGTTTGCATGGTTGAAATTCTGAAAATCTGAAATATCTGAACAAAATTCAGACCACCCAAACTAAGATTTCATTTTCCGGATGAATTGGTTTGGACAAACCAAATTTCTTCTTTATACCCGAGTCTAGTAAACCTGTCAGGCAACACAAGTCATAGCGTTCTTAGATTATGCATCTGCTGTTCCCTGGCTAAACAATACAATGCCAGATATACTTTACAAATTGAATTGTAGCCATATATTCACATGGCTTCCTTTTGATGTTACTAATAAAGTAGTGCATTGGTTAGTACAAAAACTATAGCACGTTAAGCCTTAGAATTGCAAATTCATTCCCCAGTAGGGTCACTTCAACCTTTCATCCATCTCAGATTGATCATAAAAACATCTCTAATCCAAGGCATGCTTGAAAACTAGAGAAATGCAAGTGTATCTGGCTAATCAATTCCTTACATTTTATTATTTTTTTTAATTACATTTTGGTGATGCATTTTTTTATCAAGAAATTTATATAAATGTACTTTTTAAAGGAACATGCATCTCTTGACAATTGTTTTTTAAACCAACAACCAAAATAAAGCAAGAAAAACTTTGAAAAGTATGTAACTTGGTCAGTTTACATTGTTGGGCACACCTCTCACATAGGGGAGTTTTTTCAACTCCCCCTCTTGCCTACCCTTCATACCAGTCCAGTAATGCCAGGAACAAGGCGTCATTGTTTGTCCTCATAGAAATGCATTGAATCAATGCATATATATGGGAACCATTGAGTGTCTCCATGCAGAGCAGCACTGGATTAGGAAGCACCTCTAGTGGCAGTCTGAGTGAGATTTAATGTGGATAAGTGCAAGATAATGCATCCTGGACGTAAAAACCCAAGGGCAGAGTACAGAATATTGTTATAGAGTCCTAACCTCAACATCCGAAGAAGGGGATTTAGGGGTGATTATTTCTGATGACTTAAAGGTAGGCAAACAATGTAATAGAGCAGCAGGGAATGCTAGCAGAATGCTTGGTTGTATAGGGAGAGGTATTAGCAGTAGAAAGATGGAAGTGCTCATGCATTGTACAGAACACTGGTGAGACCACACTTGGAGTATTGTACGCAGTAGTGGAGACCGTATCTCCAGAAGGATATTGATACATTAGAGAGAGTTCAGAGAAGGGCTACTAAACTGGTTCATGGATTGCAGGATAAAACTTACCAGGAAAGGTTAAAGGATCTTAACATGTATAGCTTGGAGGAAAGACGAGATGGGGGGATATGATAGAAACATTTAAATACATAAAAGGAATCAACACAGTAAAGGAGGAGACTATATTTAAAAGAAGAAAAACTACCACAACAAGAGGACATAGTCTTAAATTAGAGGGACAAAGGTTTAAAAATAATATCAGGAAGTATTACGTTAGTGAGAGGGTAGTGGATGCATGGAATAGCCTTCCAGCTATAGTGGTACAGGTTAACACAGTAAAGGAGTTTAAGCATGCGTGGGATAGGCATAAGGCTATCCTAACTATAAGAAAAGGCCAGGGATATGCGCTGATATGCCTGTTCTGCTATTGTGGCACCTCAAGCCTGTTTGTACACCCTATTGCACGAAGAAAAAAAAAAAAGATAAGGCCAGGGACTAATGAAAGTATTTAGAAAATTGGGCAGATTAGATGGGCTGAATGGTTCTTATCTGCCGTCACATTCTATGTTTCTAGGCACCAATGTAAACAGTGCCTTTTATATGAAAAGGCAGTGTTTAAATTGAAAAACCTTCTACAGGCTATATACACCAGGGCCACTACCTAAAGCTGTAGTGGTTTTGGTGACTATAATGTCCCTTTAACTTGAATCTACATCTGTGGCTGTGTGACTGTACACTCAAATGGTATTTGTAACAATTTAGCACTAGACAGAAGTTAGTCACTTCTTTGCAGTGGTAGATTAGGATTAAATAGATTTTTGTACACACGTAACCATACCAGAATCTTCTACACACAAATACTATATTTCCTATATTATATCTGAGCATGATTTTTTTTATTTTCTGATACTTTAGTTAACCTGATTTTTTGGAATTCATAAAAAAAAAAAATCTGTTTAAACCAATGAATAGACTCTGTTTTTACCAATAAAAAATGTATTATTTTACCCAACCACCTTTTTGTTGTCTAGGAGGTTGGGTAAAATAAACCATCTCCTGCCTCTAACTGTGACCGTGAACTGGCGAGTCAAGCACAAAACAATCTTGAGCTTGAATCCAGGACAATAAACACCTTACAGATTTTGCTAGACTTGCTTAGTGTCAGGGTTCTTACCTGAGATGGGAGTCTGTAGCGCAGATATGTTTGCTCATTCTTGCAGATAGACACAGCCCAAGGTGACAAGATAAGAAGCCACCTGGACTGTGAATCTGTGCACGGGGACTGTGCAGGAAAGGAGATTCCAATGCAGTACCGACAAGGACACCAGCAGCAGGATAGTCAAGGAATAGCCAAAGTCAAGGGATGCCAGAGGTCAGGATAACGAAGACAGAAGTCGGGGTCAATATGGAGTTTAAGTTCAAGAGAAGGAAACACAGGAACTAAACACACACAACAGGATCAAAGACTTGATTGGGTTCCCAGGGTGAGGCAGTGCTTATATACCCAGCTGATTACTGATCTATCTCAGGTGAAGCACAGTCATAGACGAAGTCCAGCCCCATGTGCTGCAGACAAGCCAGGATGAACAGGATTAAAATAAGTCCAAGGACTAGGAAGTGCGGGGGGACCACGTCTGGCCATCTGGCTCACCGTGACACTTAGTATCTTATGTACCTGCTCCTTCATTTGTTAATTGAATTTAATGGCAATCTAATTGTAAAAAACTCCTTGTATTTCGTATCCTCCGTTTGTTCGTATACTACCGAAATGCTAGAGGCTGAAGTGATTATAGCCCGTTCGCATAGTACGCTGATTTGTACTCTCCCGGAATGTCGGGAAGGTCATGGGAAAAATCAATCGGTTCGCTGTTCACATACCCAAACATCAGTCGAGACTTGATGAAGGGTACAACTGTAATGTTTTATTCTGGCCAAATGGCCCACTTATATACACAGACCCACAACATGGGGTTTCAAGCAAAAACATAGTAAAACACGCCCGGAGTCTCTGTGCCTGGGAGATAATTTAGTGTACTTTGCTTAAACTAATTATCAACCAGGCACTAGAGTTAAAAAGTATAAAATATTAAAAATACACATTATATATATCCCCGGATAGGCTGGATCTGAGCGCCTAAGTTCTCCAAAACGCACTAAGATCCCACACAGCCGAATCGCCCCCGGGGTAGAGTTTTGACCGACTGCACACATGGCTTCTGCCCAAATTAGTTCCAGAGAAATAGTGGTAGCGGTTGGTCACTTTCAGGAGATCAAAACCAAGCAAAATGTTGAACGGTTTTCCTGGCTCATAGGTAGCAATTGTTCGCTTAGTTCGTGCAATCTCCTGTCTTGAACGCAGACATTCAGATAAAATCATGGGTCTACCCAACACAGGGAAATTAACTTGGATAATAAAATACAGCATATTGTCACACTAATATCAACAGTTGCTTGATAACCAACTATTCTAGTTCCAAATTGCCTTGAAATGTATATATACCAGTGATAACTTCCTGCTCATTGTAATTGTCTATCAAATGGGTTGTCCAAGTTTGACACAATATTTGCTTTTAAACTATTATTCCCAATGGACAATGGCTAGCAAAGAATGATGGGAAATGTAGTCCAATAGCTCGTTCAACAAGGTTGGGCATCCTTGACCTATTCAATGTAGTACTGCATCAAATACGACAAGACAAGTGTTGACCAAGTGATGGATGAAAAAGTTTATTGGCTTTATGATTATCAGCATGGGGGAACATATTTTGCATCACACGGTCCTTAAGAAGAAATTGGTTGGGGGGGTAAGAAGAAATTGGTAGGGGGGAGAAGAAGAAATTGGTAGGGGAGAAGAATAAATTGGTAAGGGGAGAAGAAGAAATTGGTTGGGGAGAAGAAGAAATTGGTAGGGGGGAGAAGAAGAAATTGGTAGGGGGGGAGAAGAATAAATTGGTAAGGGGGGAGAAGAAGAAATTGGTTGGGGGGAGAAGAAGAAATTGGTAGGGGGGAGAAGAAAAAATTGGTGGGGGGGAGAAGAAGAAATTGACATGGGGTGAGAGTGACAGGGGAGGGGGAGGGGAGAAGAGAGTGACAAGGGAGGGGGGAGAGATTGACATCCATCACACACACACACAATGCACCCCTTGCACACAGAAAAACACAATGCATTACACACACAGACACACACACACAAGCAATGCAACCCTTACACACAATGCATCCCTTACACACACAGAAACACACAATGCATTCCTTACAGACGCACACACTGCATCCCGTACATACACAGAAACACACCTTGCAGCCCTTACACATACAAACACAGATTCACACAATGCATTCCTTACACACATATCAGGACATCCCCTACACACTCCACCCCCTGTGAACAAACTCATTGGGGGAACATGAAGGTGGACCTTGGGACCCAGACCTTGAGCTGTGTAAAGGGCCCCAAAAAAATGGCGCTGCTTCCCATTCTCCCAGAACATTGATTTTTGTGACCACAGTTACAAACAGCCTCCAGACAGTCTGTTCTACACCAGACCAGTGGAGCCAGATGGCAGCTAAAGCTCATCATCATCCTCATCTGGTTGTAAGTAGGCAATCTAGTATATTATTCGTGGTACTAATCTCTAATTTACCTCACATTAAAGAAACACTATAGTCCCCAGAACCACTGCAGCTTAATGTAGTGGTTCTGGTGTCTATAGCCTGTCCCTGCAGGCCTTTTATTGTAAACACGGCGGCACTGCAGCACTGGCCTTAGTTAACATGGCAGATCATATGGGTGGGGCATTGTGATGTCACATGGGGGGGCGGCGACAAACTTTACTTTTGCCAAGGGCGGCAAAAATCCTTGCACCGGCCCTGGATTGAGGAATCTGCCTGGGTATATGGAGATAAAATACATTGATATATTACTGAAAATGGTCAGTGACCGAGTGCAAAATAAGAACAAGCTTCTCGTTACAAAAATGTGATTAAACGGCTCACAGGACTTTTA